TAGTGTCAGTTTTTCTCTGTTTGAGTTTTCATTTGGTGGCTCCAAGGTTGTAATAATAAAAATAAATGTCATTTAACATTTTCTTGGGGCTGGGGAGATGGCTCAGTGGAATAAGTGCTTCCCTGGCAAGTGCAAGGGCCTGAGTCTAATCCCCAGTTCCGCAAAAACAAAAACAAAAAACGTTTTCTTGTTGCCCAGCTTGGTGGTACACACCTTTAACCTCAGCTCTGGAGAGACTGAAGCAGGAAGATCATTGTGCATTTGAGGCCAGCCTAGACTGCATAAGTGAATTCAGAGCCACTCTGCACTATGTAGTGAAACCCTGTCTCAAAACAAAAACGAAATTTTTTTGTGTGTGTGTTTGTCTTTGTGGGTAATACTGGCCATGTGTAAGGGTCTTAGAGATCAGAACAAGCTAACATTCTGCCCAGGATATTCTGAAATTATGAATTATGAATTAATATTTATTCAAGATACTAGCCTCGGTATGTGCATATATTTTTATTTTTATTATTATTATTATTATTATATTTATTTATTTGGCGAAACCGGGGATTGAACTCAGGCCCTTGCTCTTGCCAGGGAAATTATTATTAATTTATTTATTTTTGTTTAATTTCAGGACCACTAAGTCATCTAACTGGAATAATAATCAGACTGATTATTCTGCTCTCAGTGATTCCCAGTTCCTCTTTGGATCTCAGTTTTGTCCGGAAAATTCAGAGACCCTGTCAGCACCCTTAGACTTAGGCGCTCACTTGAGACGTCCAAAACAATCGCAACAGAATTCTCTGGATGTGAGTCAGATTTCTAGAATTTCTCTACACATATTTCATGGTCATTATGGAAAGAAGCTGTGAAAATTATTCTGTTGGAGCATTTACTTATTTTTTTGGTCTTCTTTTTTTGTCTTTTATTTTTATTTTATATTTTTCATTTTATGTATTTGGTACAGGGTCTCACTACACAACTTGGACTCCTAGTGATGCTCCAGTTTTCAGCCTACCCGGTGCTGGGGTTTCAGGCCAGGGAAATTATTATTAATTTATGTGCTACCACGCCTGGTCTTGGTGGGCTCAGTGTGCCCCAGGGGCGGGGCGGGTGGGGGATGAGGACTGGGGTTACCTAAGCACCTTGCCAAAGCAGGTGCTTAGTCCTCTGAGCTATCTTGGCTGATTTTTTTTTTTTTTTTTTTTTTTTTTTGCAGTACTGGGGATTGAATTCAGGACCTTGCCAGAATCTAGAATAGTAATGTACCCTGTCCCCAAGGCATGCTGAGACAGTGATTGAGACTGGCGTGGTGGTGCACACCTGTAATTCCAGGAAGCTAAAAACAAGAAAATCATTATGGAGTCGAATCTACATAGTAAGACCCTGTACACCCTGTCCTAAATACAGAAAAAAAAATTATAAAATAGAGATAAATTTAGAAAAAAATTATTCTGTTTGTGGCCAGCTTAGCCCACCCTGGAGGCAGGGCTAGCTCTACATGTGGTGCTAGGGATCAAACTATGGTTTTGCCTAAGCTTACCTAAGCAGGTGCTTTAGACCACTGAGCTATCTCGCTGGCCCCCTTATTTTATTCTTTTGCTTGCTTTGAGCTCACTGTGTATCCCAGGCTGGTCTCAAACTTGCAACTGTACTCCTATCTCAGCCTCCCCAGTGCTGGGATTTTAGACATGCACCACCACACCCAGTTTAACAACAAGTTTTTGATTTACTGGCATCAAAAACCCAGCAGTTTAGGGTCAGCCACATAGCTCAGCTGACTAAAGTACCTCCTTGGGCAGGCCAGTGTGCTGTGCTGGCCCTGCCCCCAGGGCATGCTGAGCTGACTGAGACTGGGTGTGATGGTGTGGGCCTGTAATCCCAGCACTTGGGAGGCTGAAAACAGGAAGATCACTAGGTGTCCTATGAAGCCAGAGCTGTGTAGTGTAACCCTGTAGACCCTAAACTAAAAAATCAAACAAAAAATACCCAGCAGTTTTCCAGATGTGGTAGTATACTCCTGAATCCCAACTCAGGAGGCTCAGGCAGGTTAAAAGCTGGCATGAACTACATTAGCAGATACTTGTCTCAAAATATAACACAAACATCAGTTTGAAGGGCTGGGGAGATAGCTCAGCCGTCTAAGCACCTGCCTGGCAAGCACAAGGACCTGGAATTGGGTCCAAGCTGCATAGCAAGACCCTGTACCAAATAAATAAATAAAATAAAAGATAAAAAACACCCTGCAATTTGAGTTGAACCTGTAATTATAAAGATTTTAATACACTATCCTAAAAATAGCAATTTCTGTTATTACCTTTAAATTTATGCAACTGGGCCAGGGAGATAGCTCAGTGGCATAAGCACCTGCCTGGCAAGCACAAAGTCCTGAGTTCAATCCCCAGTACAAAATTCATTCATTCATTCATTCAGTTGATTTCCAGCCATTTTATTTTATTTTATTTTATTTTATTTTATTTTATTTTATTTTATTTTATTTGTATTTAGGACAGGGTCTACAGAATTTCTACTACACAGATCGGACCCGTAGTGATTCTCCTGTTGTCAGCCTCCCAAGTGCTGGGATGGGATTACAGTTGCACGCCACCACCCCTAGTCTTGATGCATGGCACACCAGGGTTTGAACCCTGGCCACTGTGCTCTGCCTAAGTAGGTGCTTTAGTCCACTGAGCTATCAGGCCAGCCCCTCTGGCCATTTTAGCTAACTGTGTGTATGTGATGTGGGGATTGAATCCAGAGCCTCACACATTGAGCTACATGCCCAGCTTTGCTGCTTTTCTCTGCTCTCCTCCCCTCCCCTTCCCTCCCCTTCCTTCCCTTCACCTCTCCTTTCCTCTCCTCCCCCTTCCCCCTCCCCTTCCCTCCCCTTCCTTCCCTTCACCTCTCCTTTCCTCTCCTCCCCCTTCCCCCTCCCCTTCCCTCCCCTTCCTTCCCTTCACCTCTCCTTTCCTCTCCTCCCCTCCTTCCCCCTCCCCTTCCCTTTCCTTCCTTTGTTTCCCCTCCTCCTCTCTTCTCTTTTGTTCCTCCTCCCCTCCAGTGATTCTTCATTGTACAGAAAATAATGAATTCTATGATATGTTTATATGTAAAATGATGTGTTGATTTTTGGAGTTTTTTTTCATTTAACAGAGTGAGCCTAGTATCTTCACAAAGTATCAGACAAAACCATACCTATTTGGAGGAGAGACGAAGGATGAAGGGTTATTTTCCCTTCCTTTGCCAGTTGGAAAATCAAAATGCCTCTTGAAACAGTTTGAGGAAAAAAACCAAAGAGCAAAAGACAAATGTGACAGGTATGGAAAGTTTTCAAATGGATAAGCAAATCTATGTTGCCTGAGGAAACAAAATGGAATGTCATTAATCAAATGATTCAGCACTCTTAGGGGCTGAGGCAGGAGGATCACAAGGTCCAGGACAGCCTGGGTAACTTAGTAATTTAGGGCACCCACACCCATACTCCTAGCACTTGGGGAGCCTGATGCAAGAGGACTGCAGTTTCAAGTCCAACTTGGGCAATTTATTCACTTTGTGAGACTGTTTCAAAATAAAAAGGACTAGGAATGAAGTTCCATATGAAGACCTGGATTCAATCACCAGTCTGCAGAAAACAAACAAACATAAAAGATAAATTAATAAGGGTCACGATGTAGGTCCTGGTTTCAGTCCACAGTACCTGTTTATTTATTTTTTTTTTTATTAATTTTCTTGAGAAAGAAATAGCAATGAGACAGTTTCAAAACAGGTTAGTAGGGCTGGTGAGATGGCTCAGTGGTCTAAAGCACCTACTTGAAACAAGCTTAGCAAAGCACAGGGACCACGGTTCAGTCCTCCAGCACCACATGCCAGCCAGCCCCGCCCCCAGGTGGGCTGAGCTGGCCATAC